CCCATCATAAGCAGTTTTTAACACTTATTGTGTGCCAGCCACTTTTCTAAGCACTTAATATTCATTTTCTCATTTATTCCCCACAAAAATCCTATGGGTTAGATACTATTCTATCTGCATTTTACAGGGGAAAAAGATGAGAGTCAGAGAAGTTGAGAATATGACTGAAGGCAACACAGGTTAAGTAGGTGGAAGAGTGGGGGATCCCAAACCAGGCAGTGGGGCTCAGTGGCCCCTTATCCTCTTCTCTCCAGTGATTCTCTTGAGAGGACAGGGGAAGGTGCCCAACCCCTCTCAGCAGCTTTGTCACTCAGTGTTGGGCCTGTCCCAGTCCAGTGGGACTGCTGGGAACCCTGAACGAACTGCCAACTCCTCGGGCAGGCTCCCCCTAGGCCAGCTCCTCTTACAGCACCCCTTCCTGAACCAAAGATTTAGGAAGGGGTGCTAGAACCACAGATTTCTATGTCAGACGTTCCAATTGTGAAATTACTGGCTCATTATCTAGCTAGAAGTTCCCACCATGAGGAAGGAGGAGAGGATACCCAAGGGGACAAGGGCCCTTAATCCCAACTTTTCAAGATGACTTAAAATCGGAACAGGTAGGAAAGAGCAGTCAGAAGACAGTATCTATGGTGTTGCCAGCCAGCCCCCTCTAAGAACTTCCAGTCAGGTTTCTGGACAGCTGAAACATTAACATGGTATCATGATTTTTGGTACCACAATTCTGCCTTCCCCCATATAAACAGGCACCCCTATTTTTATACTAGCTTAGAAGTTTATAGCTAAGTGCCTCACTGAAATGCCACCTGTTAGAGCCTACTATTCAACTCAGTTTATGAGATACCCATGAAGTTATCAAATGAGATCTTTGTATAGCAAAAACTGACCATCAGACTACTGATTTCAACCTAGAATTTAAATCAAAGAGTATTCTCAAAGGCTTGACTTCAAGTCTTGCAAATGATTCTCTCCAAGAAGGCTAGAAGGATTACTCAAATCAGTCCAATTCAGTTGCTTGTCTGTTTTCTTAATGATTTTAAAGCAAAGACAGGGAATTCTCTGGTGGTCCAGTGGCTAGGACTTGGTGCTTTCACTGCTGGGGCCCGGGTTCAATCCCTGGCCAGGGAACTAAGATCCTGCAAGCTGTGTGGCATGGCCAAAACAAACAAAACAAAACAAAGAAACAAAGCAAAGACACAAACATGGCTGTACCACTGTGACCAACTGCCCATCAGCCACAAATTAGGGTGGGCTCCTTTAAAGATCCCTACAATGACAAATAAAATGGTGCCAATTTATAACTGGTCAAGGCAATGAAGAGCACACAGGTATAGCTCAGATAATCCAACACCTATTTTTCAGCTGGTAGATTTAACATGCATGGTTAACAATGGTCAGTATCAAGCTGAATATTCTGAGTGTCCTCCGCTTTTATTCCGTGTCCAACTGGCAGGTGACTGCATTCAACAAGGAGTCAGTGGCAAGCTACAGAAGCAAAGAAGAAAGCACAAAGTACGTAATACTTTGTGATCTAAGAAGATCAGTCTGTTCGCTTGAAGAAAAAAACATGGATCTGAATAGTGGGACAGGCGAAAGCATTTCTATTTTGTACTTCAAGCAGAAGATGGTATCACTGATAGAAGAGCAGGTACTACATCTCAAGAACTGGTAAACAAGGACCACTGATGAAGGTAAGAAAAAGCTGAATGAGTCCCAAACTTTTTCCACTAATAAACCTCACTACCTCCTGTTTTCTAAACTAACGGTTCTCAAACTTGAATCTGAGTCAGAATTCTCTGAATTACTTGTTATTCAGCCAGTGATGCCTGGCCCTAACCCTAGAGTTTGATTCAATACCTCTGAGATGGGGCCCGAGATTTTGTATTTCTAACAATTTACCAGATGATACTAAATGGTAGTTTTGAGGACCACACTTTGAGAACCACTGTCTAAACCATTTTTAATCCATGACTTTTGATGTGAGACCCCAGTCTATAACCTCCCAAAGTCCTTCAACATAATGCAATCACTTTAGAAAAATTGCACATTTGAATACTACCAAAACATAGCTTTTGATCTTAGGAATCTGGCCTGGCAAAATGGACCTGAGTGGGTTTATAAATTAAGGGCTCAAGACCCTCAGGATAGCAGGTGCATATAATAAAGCTACTCATAACCATCCAAATTAATAATCACTGAGGCTTAGTAGTAAGCCTGAAAATTCCCAATGTGACCCTAACTTGAGTTCCTGAGACATTCATGGAAACACAATGGACACCAACTGAACCCTGGGGAGTAACTATGCACCTGAGTTGCTTGACAACATCAACACCATATTTCAAGTTCTCCACAGAAGACTAAAGCCTTGCTACTCAAAGCATGGTCAGTGGACCAGCAGAATGGGCACCACCTGGGAGCTGGTTAAGAGGCCACATTTTCAAGTCCACCCCTGCCCTAACAATCAGAATTCACACTTTACCAAGGTTCACAGCTGATCCCGAGACACATTAAGGTTTGAGAAGCTAGCTGGACTAAAGGATGTCCTACCACACAGGAAACTCTGGTCTGTTACCTTGAAAAGCACTCGCCAAACATCTAACTCCTCCACCTGCATAGGGAAAAAACCTCGAATTCTGAACAGACTATTCACGTTATCCCATAAAACAACTGAATACTACTAAGTGGAGAAGGGTCAAAGCTTAAGAAACCCTCTCATCTGGCCAGTGTTTTCTTGACCCTGTAGTTAATTACAAATCCCTCAATTACAAAAGTTTTCAGAAAAGACATCACTTACAAAAATCACTGAGAACAGTTTCCTTCTACTGCTTCTAAACTTTCTAGCTTGTGAACCTGAAGTGGCAGAAACATTACTAAACGTTTTATTTATTCCAATAGTTTGATCCCAGTATGTATATGGGGAGTACGATGGCTCAAATATTATTCCAGTTGTGGAACCAAAAGACATTTATTATAGTGCTCAGAACATAGGACTGTTTCAAACTTCCTTCAAAAGGAAAAAGGCTTAGTTTGCCTCAAATCCCACATAAAATTACCAGAGTGTTGAGAAACATATATATGAAAGCACTACCCTAATACCCCAACACTGCCTAAACATGACCCTAAAATTGCCATTAACTAAGTACTCTTGAATGAAGTGGAAAGTAAAACTATTTCTAACTAAATTGGGGAGAGAAGACCATTGGATGTAAACTTAACTGTCAACCTAAAAATTTCTTTAAGGCACATTTATCTAAGCATGGCAGAATTCTGAGGCTGGATTGTCAAAAATGGGCAATATTGAGCTTCTCAGTCTTTACTGTAGACATATATAAGTTCCACACTAAAAAAGACTAATAATATCTTCCTAAAAATGACTTATGCATAAAGATGCATATACATTAAAGATGAAATATACATACTACCCTCTGATGAGTGTGTGACAGTGATTCAAAAGCCTCTATGCCTGGACTCTACACATAAAGTACCAGTCAGAACTTTTATTCAAAAACTGCTGGGAGACCTGAATTCACACGAGCTTATATCAATAAGAGCAGTTTAAATCACTTTCCCTTCATTTAATAAGCTTTTCTCCATTCAGATTTCACCTGTCAACATTTTAGGTAATGAATTTAAGTTGTGAAATACTACACAAGCACTCTCAGGTTTGAGGGAAACTATATTTGGGAAGACCAAATCTGAATGAAGAAGTAAAGTGCTTTCTATCAACTCACATTCTGTCATGCCAAAACAGATTGTATTAATACAGCAATTAACCAAAACTCTTTTACACCTGAAAACACTCTTTTCCTCAAGTTTTTTTTTTAATGCTAAAAATGAATATTACTCCAATAGCATTGGATAGTTTATCAAGTAGTTAAGAGTAGTAGCATCACTACACAAACAAAGCCCGAGTTTAAAATACTAACCAATCAGTATTCTGGGAAGCCAGGGATGATAACCACGTTAGAATCCTTGATGGGGTTCACACCAGGGAAATAACAGATATGGGCCCAACTAGGACACAACCCTTCCCATCAACAGTCCCATGCACATTTTATGTACTCCAGCTCAACACAGTTCAGTGCACTAGGAGAATTCACTGCTCCAGTCAACCTCTTCAGAAATGTTCAGTAGCCCACAGGACAGTGAAACAATAGCTTCTATAAATATACAACCTTCAGGTGATTCCTCCTCCCCCACCCCCCTGAAAGAGGAGATATCTGGAGGAGTTTTAAATCACCACAAGTTTTTAGCTTGAAGTCTTAACTTTTGTTGAGTCCATATGCATTTTACAACAGAAAGTAAAAAAAAAAAAAAAGAATTAAAAAATCTGGTTACCCTAGGCAAGCACACCAGAGTATTCCTGTGGGGAGTTCACCTCTCAAGGAAACATCAATACAGAGGACACTGATTTCTGTGAGGCATCCCAGAGCTGAAATCCTTACTCTATGGAATGTAAGTCAATAACACATCAATTACACAGCTGTTACAGAATTTGTCTGCCAACATATACTGATCCACAAATTCACACAGGGAATATCGAGCCAATATTCCCTTCACCTGAAGGCTACTTAGGGGCAAATTCTAGTTTAAACTCTGGGTATTCACACTACAGAAAAAAGTTCAAAGCAATGCTTTACTAAATCTAGTTAATATGTAGTTCACATAGTGAGTCAGAATGAGACTACCACTTTAAATAATACTAATGAAATTCCTACACAATGTTACTAATCTCCTCACCTATAAAACACTATTTCATTAATAACAAAGCATACTTTTTTTTTTTTTTTTTTTTTTGCGGTACGCGGGCCTCTCACTGCTGTGGCCTCTCCCGCTGCGGAGCACAGGCTCCAGACGCGCAGGCCCAGCGGCCATGGCCCACGGGCCCAGCCACTCCGCGGCACGTGGGATCCTCCCGGACCAGGGCACGAACCCGCGCCCCCCGCATCGGCAGGCGGACTCCCAACCACTGCGCCACCAGGGAAGCCCACAAAGCCTACTTTTGTATAGCGATGCGGGGATTTGGAGGCCGGTTGCTTCTTCAGGTCAAGGAAGGCATCTCCATTTTCTGTTTCACCCACACTTCTATCCATGGCTCCTTGGTCTACAGTTCTTTGCACCTGGAAGAAATCAGCACAAAACTGTCACTGAGAACAATAAATTTTCATAAGTCCTGACTGTTTAAGAAACGGAAATTCATATCTCTTAGACTGACTACCTTTAAAAAACCCTCACCCAACAATTACGCTATAAACCAGAACCCACTTGGAAACACAAACACTGGTACTTAGATACCTCTTCTATCAAAGAGCTAAGCATCACAGGATAAGGAAAGGAAAAGTGCAACATGCCCAAATCAGGGTCCACCCTTTAAGCAGTTTTAATACAAAAAGAAACCAACATTAGTCGCTGCCACCCGTGAGGGCCGTTCAGGCAGTAGTGGGGAAGTTTCTCGTAGTGGGGGCAGGTAGGAGACTGGCTGGAGCTGGGGATCCGGGAAGTCGGGCAGTGGTAAAGTGCCTGTCACTTGCCAATGGACGGCGCCAGCTGCCCCTTGTTACCGGAGGCCAGGGACTGGGGACGGGGCCAGAGCGCCCCTCACTAGGCCAGCCGCACCTGTGGACATGTCAGGGGAGGCCCTGGCAAGGAAGGGGCGAGCGCAGGCTTCAGCTCCAAAGCTCAGCTTCCCCTGGCCGAGACCCCAACCCCCGGCCTCTCGCGCAGGCCCCGACCCAGCGGCCTCCTTCGGAGAATGGGCGGGGACAGTACTCACGGAGGGGAGGTGGGCCGGAGGAAGCGGGGAGGCCGAATCCCCCGGCCCGGGCACTCCGAGCTGGAGCCGGTACAGGCCCGCCGCCATCCAGCCCGGCGGCTCGGGCCCCACCAGCCCGCCCGCTGCTAGCCGGCCGCCCCGCTGGCCTCGCGCCCCTGCCCGGCCCCCGCGCGCGCCCCGGCGCTCGCGCTCACGCCCGCGAACCTGGGCGCAGCGCACCCGCGCCCCTTCTCTTCCCGCGGGCCCAGGCGTGCGGCGCCCCGAATCCCGGCGCCCCCACCGCCACCCAGCCCTTACTCGGTGCCTCGGCCGCCGCTCCCCTGCCCGCCGCCCGCGCCGGTCCGAGGGCTGCTCCGCGCGGCCTTCGCTCTCGCCCCCCCCAACCCGCTCGGATTGTCTCCCTTCAGCCGCCGTAACCGCAACCCAGCCCTCCGCCCCTCCTCCCCGGCCCCCTCCCCCTTAATATCTCCCTCCACGCACCCGGGCCCCAGCGCAGCCTTCGCCGACGCGCGCCCGGATGTGAGGTGTCCGCGGCGGTGCCGGCCGGAAAAAGGAAACATCGCGGCGTGCTCCCTGGGCGCCGGCCCCTGCGTACGCACGGTGGCGGGGAGGCGGAGGCCGGGAGGGGATGACGGCAGGGGGAGGAGGCCTGGCCGGGGGCCGCGGAAACCCTCCCAGGTGTGCTCAGGCGGTCGTCGTGGGCAGCCCTGGGGAGGACGCCCAGTTCCCACGTGCGCTTCGGGGCGGGGCGGAGCTTGAAGCCCGCGACCCCCGCCCGGCTGCTCTCCAGGCAGGGTGACCGCGGTCGGGCAGTGGGTCGGCAGAGAACCCTGGGGCTTCGGCAGCGGGAATCTTGAGTTAGGCGAACTTGAGGGCTGTGCGCCTTCCGGTTGGGGTTCGAACCTTGGCTATTTTTTTTACTGGTGGTGTAATCTTGGGCAAAGTTCTGACTTCTGAGTTTCGTTCTTATTAAAATGGCCTCTATGTGTATGAGGAATAAGCGAGATTACGCGTTGCTGCATTAATAAGCAAACTTGCCACGGTTGCTTTTGAATGAGCTACAGGCGACTGACAAATTCATTGAAATGTTCTTTCCCGCCCCATAGCCTGCACGGGAAGAAGTGCAAGTGCGTTTGGGTGAAAGATGAAACTGCGAATGTCAGGTGGTTAGTATGTAGTGCTGAGACCGGCTGACGGCCACACAGACGCACATATAATTTTCCTCCTCTGTGAACAAATGAGAGTAATTGCCATGCGGGGAGGAAAGGTTTGACGGAGATCACGTGTGAGCCGGTTTCTGCCCCGTGGGACAGTGGAATGATACATGGCTGTGGAGGGAAATGTAATTTTTCTCGCCAAAGTATAGTGAAGTCTACATTTCTTTGAAGGGGCCTACTTTCTTTGAGCTTCACTTGTGAAATCAGCCGATTGGGCAGTGATTGCGCACTAAGTTCCCGTCCTTGTATATTGGCAACGGACAAAACAATTATGAAAACTTTTTCTTTTCGTCTGTAATGATGAATAAAATGAGTTTCTCACAACTATCCTCTCTCTGCAAGCCACTGTGGAGAAGTGGAGAAGGCCTATTTTTTTGAAGCTCTTAAATTCTGGCTCTGCCACTCAGTGTGAAACCGGAGCCAGTCACTTCACTTTTTTGAACCTGTTTACTCATCTATGAAAGAGAGATAGCAGGGCTTCCCTGGTGGCGCAGTGGTTGAGAGTCTGCCTGTCGATGCTAGGGGATACGGGTTCGTGCCCCGGTCCGGGAAGAGCCCACATGCCGCGGAGCGGCTGGGCCCGTGAGTCATGGCCGCTGAGCCTGCGCGTCCGGAGCCTGCGCTCCGCAATGGGAGAGGCCACAACAGTGAGGAGCCCGCGTACCGCAAAAAGAGATAGTAGTACCTAATTTTCAGGCTTTAAAGAGATAACATTAAAACCACTGTTCTGGTTATCTTTTGCTGTGTAACAAACTATCCCCAAACTCAATGGCTTAACCCAACATTTATTTTGCACCAAATCTGTAATTTGGGGTGGTCCTAACTGGGACAGCTGGTCTCTGCTCCCTTCAACATCAGCTGGAAAGCTGTGTGCTAGGAACATCTAATGGCTCACTCACTCACGTGTTTGGTGGTTGTTGGTGGCTGTCAGCTGGAACCAATGGAGCTACTGCTGGAACACTTACACCTGGTCTCTCTGTGGCGTGAGCTCCCTCATAACATGGTGGCTAGATTCCCAGGCAAGTGTCCAATTAGGAGAGGGCCAGACAGTTGTACAGCCTAGCCTCGAAGTCACTGTCTCTTATGCCACATGCTGTTCCTTAGATAGGCATCGCTAAGGCTGGCCTATATTCAAGGGAAGAGGACTTAGACTACACCTTTATACGGGAAGAGTGTCACAGAATTTGTGGGCATATTTTTAAATTACCACCAGCCATATATGAAATGTGCTCAAGGCATTGTAGGTATTATCATAAAGGCCTGGCCTGAAGCTCATTTCCTGGGTGTCTTCTAGTCTATCCTATGGAGGATGTACTCTTCCCCCAGGCTCTTCTTTAATGTCTTATAGAACCATGTTCTCAACTCACTTCTTACCTCTCAAAGCCTTAATCTATCCTTATTAAAGGAGAAGACAATTATTACCTAGGAATAAAGGTAATCATTTACTAAGGGAGGGCATCTGTGAACTTCTTTCACCTGTGTCATGTAAAAGCTAGATGCTTGCAAATCCTTGTTTCGTTGTTGCTTTTGAATGTTATTCTCTTTGGCAGGAATGATAATTTGTAATTCTAAATGCCCCCTTTTGCAATGATAATGAATTTTCAAATATCAGTATAGGAACCCCCTTTGAGAGAGTAAGAGAAAAAAGATTCTACTTCTTTACTAAATATTTGTAAGATCTTGGTTTAGGTTCAAATTCTTGTTTCAAAATTTGGCATAAGGGGACTCCCAACTTTCAGTCAGTTGGGGAAATTAACAGTCCAAGAACAGCAGAGAAGCAAATAGAAATCAGAAACTAAAAATTTTGAGAGCAGCCTCAACTCAGACCTCCACTGCTCTCCACCTTTCTAAATGAGCTTTTTCCTACTCAGCTTTTCTTTCTCCAAGGGTAATCCCTACTTCCAAGAAAATAGGATTTGAACAGTTTCACAGTTGCGGCATCATGTATTCAACGACTACAAAGAAATTATTAAGAGACTTCTGTAAGACCATAGAGCAAATTATTTGCTGAGCCTAAACCCTTTCTGGCACTTTACATCTTTGATTTTATATATGCAAAGTAGTTAAGAGTCTGACATCACCAAGCGCTGCTGCACTAGCTATTGTTATTCTATATTGTTATCTAATCTTACCCAATGGGACTAATTATTTTCATTATAATTCAAATGCAAATGCCTTTAATTCCTTCCTAAATTAGTCAAAGCTGATGGTGGTAAATGTACATGACAAAGTATCAGCAAATCATTTAGAAAGCGTGCTTACCGATTTTTCATCCTGGATTGTCATAATTTGTATAAATGTAATTTAATAAAGTACTTAAAAGAGTAACATTACAGTAAGTAAATATTAGTTACAGTGTTAATCAGGACTTTGAAAGTAACTAAATTATTTAAAAACTACTTTGCCACATAACTTCAGATTAAAGATTGGTTCCCGTGTCCCGCTAAAATGGAACTTCTTTTAAACACTTTTAATTACAAAACTTAACATAGGTAAAAAAAAAAGCAAAAATGCAAATTACCTGTGATTCTAATACCAAGGCACCCAACAAGTTTTTTTTCCTTCATGTTTTTAATGTAAAATCTTTCAGGCATTTAAATGCATAATGCTAGCCTTTGTTTTGCGCTCTCCACCAGAAATATCAAGTGCTTTCAAATGATGCTTTACGAAGCACAGGAGAAAAGGATATAAAAATGCCCTACCTTAATAACCTATAATGAAAAATAATCTGAAAAAGAATAGTGTATATATATACATAAAACTGAATCACTTTGCTGTATACCTGAAACTAACAGCATTGTAAATCAACTATTCGTTAATTTAAAAAAATGCCCTACCTACCCATCCCCACTTTTTAAAATTTGGGCCCACTCTGATCATCTTTTAAATTAATGACTATTTACTAACAATGCTTGTTAATTACATTTTAAAAGTAATGGTTAAGAGACGCCATCAACCTGGGATAATCTTAATTCGCCGGCGGCGCAACCCTCACCCGCGCGGTCAAGATTGACGACCCCCTAGTCTACGAATGCGCGCGCCCCAGGCCCCGGGGACCGGCTTGCGTTCCCCGGAAACCATCGAGAACCGAGAGCCAGAGAGGCTCACGCGGAAGCCGGGAGGTGGGGGAAGGAGGGCCTCGGTCCGCGCCGGCCTCTACACGGGAGCCTCGTCCCTGGTGCTTGCCACGCGAAGCGTAACTCGGGAATCCGCTTCAAGACAGCTCCCACTCCTCGTGTCTAAGAGTAGCAGTGGGAGGCTGAGCTGTGAAAGAAGCGAGTGGGCCACGGGGGCAGAGAGCTCTCCGCGGGGCCGCCCTGACAGCGCGTCTATCCACGCACCTCAAGGCCAACTCGCATTGCTGGGGCTCCAAGGCGGCCACGGGGAGGTGAGTCGCCTGCTGCCCTGAGGCTCGGCCGTCTCTCGGGTCTCGGGCTGGGCGTCCCTCACGCACGCCGCGTCGCCGTGGAGATGGGGGCGGGGCCGGCGCGAGATCTGCGTCTTAAGGGGCGGGAAAGCGCGGAGGCTGGCGTAGGCCGCGCGGGCTTTAGGAGGCTGCACCGCGTCTGCCGGGATTTCTCTGAAGCGTGAGGCGGGAGTGCTCGGCCTCTCCGGCCGGAGCGCAGCGACGAGCGCACGTCCCTCCGAGCCTGGCCGGTGACTGCCCTGTGGGAGCGTCCGTTTCCTCCTCCTCTAGAAGTGCAGGTGAGGCTACCTCCCCATGGGGCTGAGGTCCGAGAATGGAGGAGAGGTGGAAAGGACGCGCAGGACGGCTCCCGGGGCCCACGTTCCTCGCCCGACGTCCTCCTGCGCGTCTGGGGCGCCGCAGGCGGGTGCTGGTGCCGCGTCAGTGCAAGGCTCGTTAGCGTGCGCGTATCCGAATTCGGGGTTTCTGGATCCCTGCTGCTTGGCCGAGCGACGGGCGAGGGTTTTCAGACCGTAGGGGCCACACCTGAGCCCCGAGGGCTAATTGGGCAAACACCCGCAGCGGGAGATTAGTGCTCCGTTTTTATTTGATGGGAGGCCTTTCAGATTTATTGTTAATCTCTGGATTATAGTGAAGATTTGTTATTCGTTGACTGAATCGTGTTAGGACCCTGAGTACCAGCCCCAGCTGTCCTACTTAGCTGGTGACCTGGGGCACTTCTTC